TTGACTGAGAAGCTGGCTGAATTAACTGAGAAATTGTCTTGCAGTTAGTCTGGCTTGGGGCTGTTTTTCACTAAACTTAGACTTTCACTATGTGATACCTTTTGTCAACCCCATACCCCAAACTTATTTCCTTAATAAATCCCAAAACTCTCAGTAAAGTCTGTGAATCAATTTGCAACAAACATTGGACACAATAATTAGTACAAATAGGAGCAGGAGCATGGGTGGTGGCACACCTGACCATGTAGCTATTTGTCAGGCACTACAGAAATTATAAATGGAGACAGTTTCCCTGGATAACATGGGTAGAAGTTGTACTCAACCACTTCCATGTTGTATCTGCTCCTAATATAGTGCCAAGACCATGCTGGTTTGGTTAGTATGACGTGTAATAGGTTTGGACATCAGGGAGTGAGTGCTATTTCTTCCATCTGATCTTTAGTTTTAAGAAGAGCTTTGCTTATTTAGGATCTCTTTCTTTTCCAAATAAACTCGCCAACTGCCTTTTCTAACTCATTAAAAATGAGCTTTGTTTCTGTATTGTGATTGCATTAAACACGTAGATTTCTTTGGTATGACTGTCATTTTCATTATCTATGAAGAATGAAAATTCTTTTCATTTAACTTTATTGTCCTATAGTTGTGTTTTGTGGTTTTCTTTATAAAGGTCACTTTGAGGTCATCCTACAACTAGTGTGGTCTTGGGTAAATAACATTCAATTTTTAAAATCTATTATTGATATGATCTCTAAATTTAGGTGGGGTATACTCAAGGCTATATTTTACCTCTCACAGATTTGTTTGTGTTTTTTTAACTTCAAATTGATCATGTATGTGAGAAATTAAAAGTCTGTTCTGCGGCCAGTTTCCTTGACTTTCTTTAACGAATGACGGTGAGCATTTATACCACCTCTTTTCATAGATGCAATCAAGTTGATTCTTATGTATTCCCTCTGGTAGTGTCAAGTCAAATTATTTTCCAGTGGTCCTCCTGTCCACAGCCATGCTTTTGTTTTGTTTTGTATTTTTAATTAGAAGCACTTTATAAATGAACATCTAAAATATATACTCTAAAATACAAGAGCTACTGGTATGCAGAAAAAGGCAAAGAGTATGAGTCAATTAAAAGAAATAAGCAATTATTTCATTAAAATTATTAAAAATATTCTTCTTTGTACTTCAGGCTAATTTCTCTTTTCTTTCCATTTCAGGTTTCATAAATCACTCTTATACATATTCATTCAAAGTACAGCTAAATATGAAGCTTTTATAAAAGCTTATCTCTACAACACCTGTGCTATCCTATATAAATTTCTACTTTCGTCAGTTCTTAACACCTACCTCTCTGGATTTTCAAGAGTTTCTATTTCACAGGGGTAGTAGTTATTTTAAATACACTGGTAGCCACATATAATAAAGTACTTGATATAAAACTTGTTTGGTTTTTTATATTTAATGTATATGTATTAGTCAGTTTTAAAAAATGGCAGCATAAAAAGAGGGAGGGGCATGGAAATGACTGCATCTGATCCCTCCACTAATTTCATATGAAGGAACACTCCCTATCTACATTATTAACAGCAAAAAACAGATTCCTATGAGGTCTTTTCTGTCCTTCAACCTCCCATTCTACTGGTACCAGTTCTAACATCAATTTTCCCTCTCTAAGCTGTCAATGCTTTACTCCTGTGTCCATCATCCCTTGAAGTAGCCACACAGACGTCACAGAACCATATGGCTATGGAGTTTAGTAGGGAAATTAACAGGTTACCATGCAGGCTTTGATTCAGGCTGGCAGCTGAATACAATCTCTCAGTCCAGACAGCTGCTCAAGTGTGGTTGCAGTCCCTTTGACCTTGGCTTAGGTTAGTGTTACAAAATTCACTTCATCCTCTCAGTTATCTTCCCTCAGTGCTCACCAAGCTGAGTGGAAGGCCTCTGGCTTTAGTTCCACTGGGGCAGAAGTCCCAAGTCAGCTCAGTCCCATGTTGGTTTCTGATTCTCTGTTGAGGCTGCTGTTGTTCTTAGGTAGAGCCCAGTCTGGCTGGCATAAGAATCTCTGGCACTGAAGGATTGACAATGTTTCCTCTTCTTTGTTCACACGGAAATAATCAATTTATGCACCCAGATCTGCTCAGTTTAAAGCTAGTGGGATGGTGAAATTGTTGTTATGTGCCATCAAATCACCTGCAACTTATAGTGACTCTATGTATGTTAGCTCTGAAACCTGCTCTATCTTGGGCCAATCTTAACATCTCCAAAAGACCTAATCCAAATGCGCCAGTCACTGAGTTAATCCATCTCATCTGGGGTCTTCCTCTCCTGTGCTGCCCCTACATCCTTCCAAGCATGATGGCCTTCTCCAAGGACTGGTTCCTTCTTGTCATGTGCCCAAAGTATATGAGACGGAGCTTCAAAATCCTAGCCTCCAAGGAGAAACTTGCTACTGTAGCCATACTTTTTATATTAGCCAGCAAGAATTATACTTAATTTGTAGGACTAAGGAAATAAAAGTCAATCCTAAGAATGTTGTTTTGGTCAAGGAGCCTTTAAGACAAGTGTTGCCAGCATGGGGGTGACCATGTCTTAAGGACATCGGGGAGATCAATCTCCATTAAGAACATCCACAGTACTAAACTGATTTCCCTGAGGTCAAACACACCTCTCATACTCCTCAAAGCCAGTGCTACCAATTCTAACAACTATCCCTCCTAAGCTCTGTTTTACTACATAGCCTGTTAATTCATTCCAATGCATACAGAACTCACAGAACCATATTTACAATTTGAGGATTTAAATGGAAGCAGGTGTGGCATCTACTTCCTAAACAACTTGCCTCCGGAACCTCTATGAACTTTGATAAATGTTGATAGTTGTAGAGGGGCTTCAGGCCTTTTGTTCATAGGGTCGCTATGAATCGTGCTCGACTCGAAGGCGATCAACAAGAAGAACAACATTAAGGAAGTTAACAGATCACAATTCAGATTTGAACAGGTCTGAATTCTTCAGTTAGGCGATCTCCTCAGGTGAACTCACAGATCCTTTGACTTTCAGCCACTTGGCTGAAAAAAAGCTTGTCTAAAAAGCTCTCTTAAACCTACCAGTTATTTTATATCTACACCAGTCCTCTCTCGGGTGAAGGTCCCTGCTTTTGGCTTTGTGGGGTAGCAGGTCTGGTCAGCTCTGTAATTTGACCATCTCTAGTTCTCTACTGCTGATCTTGTCTAGATCCCTATCTGACTGGTACATGGAACTCTGTGGTCACAGCGGACTTTGATGGAATTCTCTGTGTCTTTCTTGCTGGTAACAAGATTGTCCTCTTCTTCCTCCAAACTTTCTCAAATTAAGCCTGACAGGATGGTAAACCTGGCCAATCCCATCTTCAGTGGACTACACACCTTGTTTGCTTGTTCCCATCCAATCCATTGTGCAGCAAAAGATAAAGCAATGATCAGGAAAGCCTTTTTGGAGGTCAAACACTGCTGCATGTATCTTCCTGGTGAACCTTTGGCAATGGCTAAAAGGAGGGTCAGATAAAAACAACTACACATCACAAGATACCTTATTAATAAGCATCTGCTATAGAGGCTTGTTGATGTTGGCTCATTGCTTCTCCATCATATAGAGAAGGTCAGCCAGGCTTCTCTTCCAGGTATTCCAGCTTTTTTACAGAGCAAAACCATGTCCCATTCAACAACTTACTCACAGTTTGTTTTGTGGCATGAGCTGCAATCCCCTCAATGAATTGTGTCGACAAGAATCTTGTGATGTCAGGAATCTCCTCTTCTTGCTTCATCTTTGGATTTCTGGTTTCCATTTTCCTTTTTTTCCAGACATCCTCATGCTTTCTGACTTCTTTTTTTTTTTTTTTTTTTTGGTGCAAATGCTACCTTTGGTTTCACATGGTTGACTGGAGTATATTCTTCATAGCTGCTGTCTGCTCACTGTACAATCTACTGTTGACAATGAGATAAGCCTATCTACTGTGTGCCTGAAAGGGACCTCAGAAAATTAGTTCATTTCTAGATTTGAAAGTTGTCTAAGAGTCATAGTGTCAGATTCCACCAGTCTCTATCAGATTAGAGAGCCAGTTTTTTCCTTCTTCTTTGATTTAGAATTATTTTGCTCTTTTCTTTGACTTTGTCCAAAACAGGCCACTCCAACCTGGGCAGAGAAAGTAACTAGGGATAGATCTGTTAATGCTACCTATTTGCTATATATAACCCACAACTTTGGTTTAAAAACTTTCTTTGCTTTCAGAATTAATTCCACATCTTTTACATTCAACCCTTCACTTAATCAACCCTTTGTAATCAATCCCAGCGTCAATCAAATAATGTATGTTTTAGGAAGATACTTCTAGATGTATATGTACATTTATTTCAATGTCTCATATCTTTAATAGCTCCATTTGACACTGAAAAATTCAAAGGAAAAAATATAACGTACAAAAACTTTCAAGGAAAGAAGAGATGTGAATTGACATTTGCAATTAAGTTTCTTGTCTTGTTAATACTGTTTTCTAATGCCATATAATAACAATAAAAGTGAGGTTTCCATTGCCTTTTCTGATTTGTGATTTTATATCCATAAGCTTAAAGACCTCTTGGAAGCAGGAGTGGCATCCACTTCCTAAACAACATGACTCCAGAAACTCTATGAACTTTGATAAATGTCAATAGTTATAGAGAGGCTTCAGGCCTTTTGTTCATAGGGTCGCTATGAGTCGTGCTCGACTCAAAGGCAATCAACAACAACAACAAAGACCTCTGTACAGCAAAAAAGCTAAAGTACTGCATTAAAGTGGAAAATGTGATTTCTATAACTATATTTCAGGTTGACTGGAACAGAACAAAAATCCTAGGCTTAAATAAATTAAAAGATACCAGCTGTCTTAGAAGGCAGCTTTAGGACTTTTAATTCCCATTATTTCTTTCCCATGTTTCAAGAACTACAGGAAGCCATTTAATTCTTTCCTTCACAGGCACAGAGTAAAATACCTTTATGTCAGGAAATTGACCCAGATAGGTATCCAATGTCAGCAAGGACCCATCCACTAGTTTCTGATGGAAGTCTTCCCACAGCACATCACATTTCTGAAAAAAAAAAGAGAAAAAAGAGATAACTCCTGAATTACTTTCATTAAATTCCTTTCACCAAACTCCTAACACTTAAAAATCCTCTGAACTATAAAATTAACTAATGCTTCCCCAGATAGTATATACTTTGAGCATTTGACCAGGAGGGGTCACTCCTTGGAAAAGGATATCATACTTGAAAGGGTGGAGGGATAGTGTAGGAGAGTAAGACCACAGATGAGATGGACTGACAAAGAAACAGGGGTAATGAGTGTAAGTGTGTCAGATACAGTGAGACTGGCCCAGGATAGAGTAGAATTTAGAGCTAATACATAGGGTTGCTAAGTTGTGGTTGACTCAACAGCACATAACAACAACAATATGCAATATGGGCTATACAGTAATCCAATTACATTTCAGAGTAACTTGATTACCAGTTATCATTGATGATATTTATAAATTAGAGCATTTGAGAGATCTGTTCTGAGTCTGAATTACTACCGAATAGGCAAGGGTGGCTATTTACATAAGGAATAGACTTCAGTAATGGCATCTGTCATATACAGAATGTATCATAGGGCTCTGAAAACACATTAACACTGCTGCTAAGTGCCATCATTGACTTTTTGTTTTGTTTTGTTTAGGTCTGTCAAGTTGGCTACAACTCATAGTGACCATATGCACAAACACAGAGTTTTATAAAGATGGTGTTTGGCATATACAGCTAAAATTATTATTGTTTGTTGCTACAAAGTGGGAGAGAAAATATAAAAAGTCACTTTTGGCCTGAAACTAAAAGGAGAGACCTAAGGCCACATGCACACGAACAGGATATAATTAAGAATGTACTTAATGGTTGTTGTTGTTTGTTGTTGACAGGTGCCGTCAAGTAGAGTACGATTCAGAGTGACCCTATGAACAAAAGATTGGAAACCAGTGTCCTGCGTCATCCTCACACTTCCTGACATACAAAAGCCCATTGTAGCAGTTACTGTATCAATCCATCTGGTTGAGGGTCTTCCTTCCCAACATACTGTCCCTCTCCAAGCAATAGCACCTTCTGGCAATATGTCCAAAGTATGTGAGGGGAAGTTTCATTATTCTTGCCTCCAAAGAGCACTCTGGCTGCACTCTCTCCAAGTGATATCTCTTGGCCATTCATGAGATGTTCAGTGCTCTTCTCCAACACCACAGCTCAAAGGCATCAATTCTTTTTCTGTCATCTTTATTCACTGTCCAGGTCTCAGATGCATAGCTAGTAATATGAAACACTATGGCCTGAATCAGACACACTTTAGTCCTAAAACTGACATCACTACTCCTCAATAATTTGGAAAGGTCCCTAACTGCAGTATTTCCCAGTGCAATATTTCCTGACTGCTCAGGAAATTGTGGATCCAATCAAGATGAAGCTGTTGACAGTTTCAATCTCCCCTCCATCCTTCATGATACAGCCTATTGTTCCAGTGGTAAGAATCTTTGTTTTCTTGATACTGAGACATAATCCATATTGAAAGCTGCATTCCTTGATCTTCTGCAACAAGAGCTTCCTTCAGAATGGTAACTGGAGCAGGAATGCAAAAGTAAGAAACAGTAAAAAGGAACAATAGTTGGAAAATATGGGCTTGGTGATAGAAATTAAGCTGAAAATAGAATGACTGAATTTTGTACTTGCAAAAATTTATTCATTAACAATAATTTCCCTAAAAATCACAAAAGATGACTTTACATGTGGATTTCACCTGATGAGCTACAAAGAGAGCAGACTAATTACATCTGTGGAAGAAATCGTTGGAGAAGCTCAATATAAGCAGTCAAAAGTAGGCCAGGCACAGACTGTGGGTCAGATCATAATTACTCATACACAAGTTCAAACTGGAGCAGAAGAAAATTAAAGTAAGTACACAGGAATCAAGATATAATCTTGAATCAATGCCATCGGAATTTCATGATCATCTTAAGAATAGGTTTGAGGCAATGATAGAAGACATGATGAGTTATGGGATGATATCATGGATATCATCCATGAAGAAAGCAACAGGTCATTACAAAAACAGAGAAGAGAGGGAAAAAAATTGAAATGTACTTAAGGGTTGTTGTTGTTGTTATGTGCCATCGAGTCGTTTGCCACTCATAGCTTCCCTATGTACAATAGCCCTAAACCCTGCTCTATCCTGTGCCAATCGCATGGCCTCTGACCCATCCATCCCGATTACCCCAGTCACTGAATCAATCCATCTCATAGAGGGTCTTCCCCTCCTGCACTGTCCCTCCACTTTACCAAGCATGATGTTCCTCTCCAAGGACCTGTCTCTCCTTACAACATGCCCAAAGTATGTCAGACAAAGCCCCTGAATCCTTGCCTCCAAGGAGTTGTTTGGTTTAACCCTCTCCAGGATGAATCTTTTTGTTTTCTTGGCAGTCCAGGTTACATTCAATACTCTTCTCCAGCACCACGGCTCAAAGGCATCAATTCTCCTTCTATCCTCCCTAGTCACTGTCCAACTCTCTGATGCATAACAAGTGATTGCAAAGACCACGGCCTGTATCAGGTGCGCCTTAGTCTCCAGAGAGACACCACTACTCTTGAGTACTTTAGAGAGGTCCCTAACAGCAGACTTACCCATCGCAATACGTTTTTTTATTTCCTGACTGCTGGTGCCAAGAGTGTTGACCGTGGAGCTGAACAAACTGAAGCTGTGAACAATCTCAATCTCTTCGCCATCCATCCTGATGCTACCGATTGGTCTAGTGGTGAGAATTTTTGTCTTCTTGACATTGAGCCTCAGTCCATACTGAAGGCTGCAGTCCTTGACCCTCCACAGCAAGTGCATGAGGTCCTCCTCAGTTTCAGCAAGCAGGGTTGTGTCATCTGCATAACGCAGATTGTTAATAGATCTGCCACCAATCCTGATGCTACAATTCTCCTCATAGAGCCCAGCCTCCCGGGTAATCTGCTCTGCATACAGGTTGAAAAGGTATGGAGACAGGACACATCCCTGGCATACACCCTTCCCAGTTTTGAACCATGCAGTGTTACCCTGCTCTGTTCTGACGACTGCCTCTTGGTCCAGGTATAGGTTTCGCATTAGCACGATTAAATGTTCTGGGATTCCCATTCTTCTTAGAGTCAGCCACAGTCTGTTATGATCCACACAGTCAAAAATGAAAGTGGAAATTTCTTCGAAAGTTGATGTGTTAAAGTTTTTGTTGATTTAAATTTATAAATAATGCTGTTTCTTTTATATTTCCTCTAGGCTGCTGCTTGGAGGCAAGGATTCTCAAGCTTCGTCAGACATACTTTGGACATGTTGCAAGGCGGGACATCATACTTGGGAGGGTGGAGCAACAGCAAAAGAGAGGAAGACCCTCAATGAGATGGATTGATTCAGTGACTGGGGTAATGGAAGTAGGTGTATCAGAGACAGTAAGATTGGCATAGGGTAGAGCAGGGTTTAGGGCTGTTGTATATAGGGTCACTATGAGTCGCAGCCAACAGGACGGCACATAACAACAATAACAAAGTAATAATATTAAAATATACTTCAATATGGATTGAAGCTCAACCAAGAAAACAACAATTCTCACCACTGGGCCAATTGGCAGCACCATGATAGATGGAGAAGAGATGGAGGTTGTTAGCAATTACAGCTTGCTTGGTGTTGAACACTCTTAACACCAGCAGTCAGGAAATCAAAATATAAATTGTACTGGGAAAATCTCCTGTCAGGGACCTCTCTAGAGTCCATGCTGAAAAGCAACAATGTCAATCTAGACACAAAGGTGCACATAATCCAGACCATATTCTTCACAATTACTTGTTATGCTTCAGTGAGGTGGACAATGACTAAGGATTACCAAAGAATAGATGCCTTCAATTTGTGCTGGAGAAAAATATTGAATATATCATGGACCACCAAGAAAACAAATTGGTCTGTCTTGCAGAGGATGAAATCAAGTTTCTCCTTGGAGGCTAGGATTTTGAAGCTCCATCTCACAAACTGTGAAAACATGGCCAGGAGAGACTGGTCCTTCAAGAAGGACATCATGCTCAGAAGGGTGGAGTTACAGTGAAGGAGAGGAAGACCCTAGATGAGATGGATTAATACAATTATCTGGGGCAATGGGGGTTGGTTTGTCAAAATTAGTGAGACTGGCTCAGGACAGGAAAGGGTTCAATGCTGTACATAGGGATGCTATGCCTCACAAGTGACTCACCAGCATATAACAACAACAACAACAACATATTATATAGGTTTTTTGTTGTTGTTTTTTTAATTTTAGCCTCTTGTTTAAAGTCAACAAGACCTCAGGGAGGGCCTCTGTATTTAAAAGTTAGTTGTTATTATGTTTTGGAGGAACATTCTTCTAAGTGGTACAGCACTCTTCTGTCAATATCCTATACTGCGGTAACCTGGCGTTTCTGTGATGCTGAACCTTGGGCCATTGGGGTGTCAAATGCCATAATGGTTACCCATGGACAGTGTTTGGTGCAGCTCCAAGTTTAAGGCAGGTTTGGAAGCAGGAGTAGCATTCACTTCCTAAACATGCCTCTGGAAAGCCTATGAACTTTGATAAATGATAATGGTTATAGAAAGATTTCAGGCCTTTTGTTCATAGGGTCTCTATGAGTCGTGCTTGACTTGATGGCAGTCAAAAGCAACACTGTAAAACTGAGTAGTGGATGTTGTAATGTTAATATATATTGCAAAAATTATTAAGGTTTTTGTTGATATAATGTTAAGATGCACAGTAAAAATTATTAAGGTTTTTGCAGATTTAACTCCACTGGATATACTAAGATATATCATAAAAATGAATAGTAGATGTTATAATGATAGGAAATATTGTAGGTTACAGAAAGAATGTAAACTAACCTTTGGGTAGTATTTAATTGTATATACAAAAAAGGAAAATTTGCCCTGAATGACTGCTTGCTGAAGGTAGTAGAATTTGGTAGTGAGACTGGGATTTATCCTGGGAAAAATTTACTCCCATCTACTACTCTGAGGTATGTTACATTTGAAAGACGATGAGTAGAAAAAGAGCGGGCCAATGCACTGAGGCAAAATAAAACAGGTGCCCATCAGAGGCCCTCTCCAAGACTTGAAGTTAAATGAAAATAGTAAGTATGCATAACTTGTGGTGACCACTTATTTAAGCCCATTTGATGAGTGGAAGTGACAGACATATGCTGTAAAGAAGAAACATTCTGAGTTTGGATGTGTTCATTCAGCATTGTCTACCTAGCATGATGAATGGGTAAGTAAAGAAGGAATGCTGGCCTATGGAGCAGGGAGTCCTGAGGATCACAGATGTGTTGACTTAGCTCATGCAGGGATAAGGCTGATTCAAAGGACTAGTCAGTGTGAAACGTAGGAAGCAGCGTGGACTCCTGAGTTTGCAGTTGATGACTATTTGGCCTAGCCATGGATGGCAGGGATGACCAGAACCAACAAAATAAAGAGAGGATATTTCATTCTGTGTGTCAGTGTTGACTGCTGTAATCTGATGGTTTGCTCTGGGCTGGACTTTTATAGACATGGATGCTCCAAGTTTCAATTATAATAGAAGATTGTTCAGAGAAAGACATATGCCTGTCTACAAAGAGTACTGGTTTGACAGGAATGTGCAAATCAGCAACTGGTTAGCTAAAAAGCAGAGTTTGAAGCATAGGCATGAAATAGCCAGCTTACATAATTTCATTAATATAAGTGATGGTAAGGAGAAGGTCTTGCCTTTGAAAACCTGCTGGAGGGTCAACTATGTGTCAGTTTCAACTTAACAGAATAAATCAACACTTAGAAGTTTCAAGCTCCGGTAGTTGAATTGTGCTGCTAACTTAAAAGCAGGCAACTCTACCATCTGAATTCTACAGCAGCACTAGGGAAAAGATGGGCCATCTCTTCCTGCTTTAATTTTCAGTCTTGGAATCCTAATGAAGGGTCATTATGTGTCAGACAAGCGAGTCAGCAGTGAGTTTGAGCTGTTGTGGGTTTTTTTAAAGTCAGAAGTTTACAAAATGAGTTAAACATTTAACACGTTGCTGAACACTTTAAAATTGATGACTGTGCTTAGAAACATTTTCCCGTCATTTGCGGCAACGTGTTAACAACATGATATTGAGTGTTTTTACATGTAAGAAATTAAAGAAGATACAATTTCTTAATAATTTCATTTGACATGACCTGTGGAGGCTAGCTTCACCAACTTCAATACCTGTAACATTTCTGAAGATGTAGTAAGGGGAACCCAGCTCCCACATAAATAAATCTGTTTTTCTCTCCAATCATGGTGTGATTATGAAGGTAAGAGAGTTATAAAATTCACAGCACACCCTGACACTACACAGTTACCATCTTTCTAATGCTGCATCACATGTCAGATCTTGAGTTCTGGCTCCTGCAGTTATTTTGACACCTTGTATCTAATGAGCTTCAATGAACTCAGGTAAAGTAGTAGACATAACAACAGGACCCTTTTGTCTACAAAGAATTTGGACCCTGGTTGGTGCTGCTTCTCACACTGAGCATTAACTTGTTGTTGTTATGTATCGTGGATTTGGAACCGACTCAGAGTTGACTCTCCAGCGTGTTTTAGAGATAGTAAATTGCACAGGAGGAGAATGTCCATCTTTCTCCCAAGGAGCAGCTGATGGATTCAAGCTACCTCCTGGCAGCACAATTCCCTACCCATTAGGTCACCAGAGCTCTGAGAACACTAAGTAGGCTGCGCAATATGAAGGCTTTACTAGTAAGGACAATTTCTTTTTTCCTCATTTTGTCAATGAAGAAATTCAGCCCAAGAAGAAAGAAAAAAAAATAACCTTCTCCACTGACACATGGAACTCCTCTTGATCTGCATACCACTGTGCTTCTATAAATCATCAATATACATTTTCTACTCCTTTTAGTTAGAAGTTGGAGTTCTGATGTGCCATGGGGAGGCAGGATGCTAATCCAAAGGCAACAATTCTCTGGTGGCTCGAATCTACCAGCTGCTCTACCAAGTTTAGATGGTTATTCTCTTTCTGTACAATTTACAGCTGCAAAAACCCCATGAAGGGTCAGCTATGAGTCTATTCTGATTTGATAGCAAGAGTTGAGTTTTAATACCAACCAGATGGTGTAAGGTCAAAGTTTTACTAAAATTAAGATTCTTTGTCATCAGGCTGAGTTTGCATCTGACCTTCTGGCCATAAATACTAGTCTTAACATGAAATTGATCAATGTTTCTGTAGCTCCTATTCCCGTGGCCTAGAGAACAGGAAGCTGCACTGCCAACCCAGAAGCAGGTGGTTCAAATCTACCAGCTGTTCCTCAGGAGGATGGACAATACCTCCCATGTAAAGTACAGCCTATGAAAACCTAGTGGAGGGTCAGCTTTGAATTGATTCTCACTCAACAGCAATAAGTTTTTGAGTTCCTATATTCAGGAAGAGAGACTGTCTGGCTTGCACAAAAAGTTGAAGCTCAACTACTACATGAAAGGATGGAGGTTCAAGTGTGCTCAGACCTATATCAAAGAAAGGCCAGGCAATCTACTTCTGAAATACCAGCCACTGAAAACACTATGGCATCCACATCAACACACATGGGCAGTCAGAACTCAGTCAATTCCCCTGAGGGAATCAGGGCAAAGGAGCCAAGTGAGTACACAGAATATGCCAGGAGGACATTTTCCTGCTAAGCTGCTATGACAGCAGGGGACAGAAGAATATTTTTCCGATTTTTGAAAAAAAAAAAAAAAAAAAACCCCAACAGAAAAACCCAAACCCATCCTTTAATCGCTATCTAAAGAAGCATTTTTATAATCGTCATTGTTTCTCATTGTGCATATGGATGAACCAGATAGTAAAAGTGCATGATGTTTCTAGGCATATGGTGGGCCCTCAGATGAAAGGCAGGCTGGGTTGAGAGAGGGCTGGGAGATCTGCTAGGTCAACAACTCAACGAGAGTCCCTGAGAGGCTCCCCAGGCTCGGGCACTAGTCCTTACCTCCCCAACCATTTTCACATCTTCTCGCCCATACCAGTCAGGTTCGTAGACTTCATGGAGTGACTCGGTGAGCTTCATTGAAGCCTCTTGCATGCCTGGTGTTGGACAAAAACAACTCTTGTTAGAAAGAAATGGGTACTGAGGCTCTTGCTCCTCCCCCTACTTTTCTCAGTAAGAGAAAAAAATCACAAGAATAGGCTAACTTTTAAGGAAATAATGTGAAGGCACAATCACCACTTGCCTTTATAATGGTATTTTCCCCCAAGGGTCTCCAAGACTTCTGTGATCATACTATACATTTTTTTTATTATTTATACAATATTGACAGAAACTGTGTCTTGAAAAATTTAATAACATGATCTATTCTGAAAATAGCAAAAATGTCATTGTTATTGTTGTGTATCATCAAGTCAGAATTGAGCCACAGCTGACCCTGTGGTAGGTTTTTAAAGGCAGTTAATTAAAACAACTATGAGATATTATCTCACCCCAGTCAAAATAGCAAAATTTAACAGAACAGCAAGCAACAAATGCTGGCGAGGTTGTGGAGAAACTGGAACCCTGATT